CGGTGGAAATCAGAGCCCCTATCGGGGTACATGAGGTAATCCTGCAACTTTCACACAGTCTCGCAGGCATAGGGCAGCAAACTTCACACGCCCTCATTCCGCAACCAACGCAAGGAACAAGAGGGAAACCAGGCTCAGGGATTCTGCTGCACTTCGTGCACCTGTCCCGTCCATCGTCTCCCCTCAAGGCTTCAGGGAGAAGACCACCGTCTCCCTGCCTACCGGCACCATTCACACTATAGCCGAGGCTAAGACCCGGCCCAAGGTTACCACCGCTCGCAACACTCGAGGGGTAACCTGTGGCATTGCCAGACTGACTAACGCCAGCGCCAACCCCTTGGTGACTAACGCCACCTCCGTAGGCAGGACCATAGAAACTGGAACCACATTGATTGTTCCCAATTCCATGAGCATCCGCAGCACTACCGTGGAACCCGGGCGCTCCACCAGGGTAACCCCCGGTAGGATCCCCTCCACTCGGGCCTCCAGAAGGCCCAGCGGGATCTTGGCCTCCACCATAATGTCCAGGACCTGGCGGTGGAGCTGGGGCATGTCCATGCCCACCACTTCCGCTCCCACCTTGACCAGTTGGTCCGCCTTGCCCACCACCTCCCCCGGGAGGAGGAGGAGGGGGCGGTCCAGCTTGAGCGCGTTCATGCCGAATATTGCAGCGTGCACATCGCTCAAGGCCGTCATTTCCGAAGTAACAGTGGTTCTCACAGACGTGAGTCCCACAACCCGTACAGAGATACATGGAGACCTCCTGAGCATTCTTGCGGCATGCCCAGCATTTCATCTTCAGGAACTCACAATTGCAACAGTCCCCGTCGTCGCCACGACAAAGCCCGCAGAACTCACGACTGCATGTCACACACGAGAATTCAGCATTCGGGTGCCTACGGTCGTTGGGATCATCGAGGGCACAAATCTTTGGCGCGTCTGGGCCAGCACCGCCGGGAGCCCCTCTTGCAGCCGGCGCTGAGGCCTGTCCACGATCCGAAGGAGCTCCAGCAGTCCCTCGCCTATCGCCGGGACTCTGGGTGTCGGCGCTGACTCTGCTCCCAGGAGTCCTCCACTCATCACCAGGACTCTGGATGTCGGCATGGACCCTATTATCTCCACCACCTCCTGAATGACGACCTGGGTTCGGAGAGACGTTCCCGCTATCGCGGATTGGCCTATCAAAATTCGGAGAGACGCTCCCGCTATCGCGGATCGGCCTCTCCCCCCTCGGTTGTCGACTCCGGGCCTCAGATCCCCTATCGGGGACGGCAGCAGGCCTCGGGCTCCTATTCCTACCCGCATCCCTATTGGGGGAAATAGAAACGTCCCCCCTTGCGCGCGCGCGGGGACCACCCCTTGCACGCTCCGGTGGCGAATGCGACCTGTCAGGCAACCCCCGAACCCTCCTGCTCCTGCTGTCGGACCTCTCCCTAACGGGATAGATGGGATGCCTGTCTGCGCGAGAAGGATCGACCCTATCGGGCACATTCGGCAAAACATGATCAGGCAAAACAACGCCTCCGCCTGGTCTCACCGGCAGGCCAGTACCCCGGCCGTCACCTTCCCCTGGTGTAGGCGTCGGTGACCTGATCCTATGTCCTTGCCCCGCAAATGCATGGTAACCAACATTCCGCCTTTCTCTGGGTTGTGGAGGAGCTTCATTAATCTGCTGGACACCCTGAATGATGCCAGCAGCCTCGTCAAATTGACCCTCCATCTCAAAGAGCTGGGACATGATTCTGTTGTTCGCGGCGCTAAGGTTACGCACGTTACCATCGATAGCGCTGACTCTCCGCATAACACCTTCAAGTGTACTCCGGAATGTGCCGAGCTCTCGCCTAACGGCAGGCTGCACTTGGTCACTGCTGGCAGGAAGATTACGGATCTGTCCTTGGATGCCATCAACGACCCGATTCACAACTGCCGATCTCGCTTCATACTGTTCAACATGTGATTTCACGGTTTCAAACCTAGAAATGATGTCGTCATGATCCCGACGTTGACGTTGAATTCCTCGAGCCAGATCCTGCATCTTCCGATTGATCTCGTCAACAGCCTCATGCCAGTCCTGCGGGGAATCATGCCCTGATGGTCTATCGACCTCCTGAGGACCCCTTCCACTCTGCAGTCTAGACACTCGATTAACAAGACGAGTGTGCTCCTCTTTGACCCCCTCAATAGATTCAGAGGCCCACTTGGCAAATGTCTCGTGATCAAGGAGAGCTTTCTCGATCTTCAGGTTTAACTCCCTGAAATTTGCATCGACTACACTGCCGCTGGCCCTATCGGATGGATGCGCGACAGGGTTCGGGTTCCATACACCTGCCGGGGTCCGCATCCCAACGGCTTTCTCTACCGAGAACATCCGTTTCTCAAGCTTGTCCAAATCCTTAAGGGTCTCGTCCTCAGAAGCAGCATGGCTTCTGCGGGCAGCCTCATTATTCTCCTGGATCATCAGGCGAAGCCGATCAGTCGATGCCTCATTGTCCCTGACAGATTCATGGACCTCGTGGGACAGTAGGTTAATCCTCTGCTCCACGACCTCGGCTTGCTCATCGATGGCTTGCCTCACAATGGCCTTGCTATCGGGAATAACTTCCCTTGCGAACCGTTGAACTATCATTCGCATCCTCCCGGCATCAGATTGAGTCGCAACCTCAGCTGCCAGGCGATCGACCTTGTCCTTCGTCCGTTGACTCTCGTCACTCCATTCCCTTCGCATGGAACTCACCTGACCGTTCAGTACCCTGATTTGGTCAGCAAAGATGTGGAACGCCTTCGCGACTGAGCCAGAAACCTCACCTCTCTCGAGCATCTCCTGGATGTGCAAATCGAACACCTCCTTCGCCCTAGCGTCACCTGATTCGCCGGAAGACTGGGATCTGAGGGCGGGAGGAGTCGATATCTCGATCCTCTCAGGAGCCCCACTAGCCCCGACATGTCTTCTGGGGTCATCCACGGGACAATCATCAATCCTGGATGGTCTACTCGGGGTAGATCCCCTTCTCCGGCTATCGCCAGATCGAGGATCAATGTTGGATGCACGTGACTCGGGGGTGGAGTGAATGTGAACATCAGCGGGATCGGGCATCTCCTCATCCTGCGGAGTTGAATCCATCGGTGAGGGGCTAGCCCTCCTCGCCTTTGACCTATCGGTCTCAGCGGCGAGAGGTGACGGTCTTTTCGCAGAAACACTACGTTCCCTGGCAGTCGAACCCCATTGAGGTGTGAACTCGTTGCTAGACCTCAGAGTTTCAAGATCACTGGTATCTCGCCCTAACGGGCTAGCGATCGACGGATGATCTTCGATCCCGAGTGCATCGGCAAGCCGACCATCTCTGGCACCTGTCCTAACAACATCGGCAGCCCGCTCAGTGATCCTCGGTGAACCAGTAACCCGGTTCGAGTTCACGTCTCTCTGACTCAACGGACCTCCAAATGCGATGTTGGGAAAGGGGGGAACATTCGGGGAATCACCGATCGCCGGGGGACCTACCGGTCCCTCGCGGTCATGAATGGCCTCCAATCCCCGAAGAACTTCCCGACTGTCCCTGGCTCTCTCTCTCTCGCTTCGGGCATCCCTGTCAACGCGAAGGTCCCTGGCGGCTCCACGAGAGAGGCTCCTGGGCCTCGCAGCATCACGGATCCTAGCATTTCGTCGTGGTTGGTTCTCCCCCTCATCACGGCGATCCGCAAATGCGGCATACTCGTGATCATCATCGACCTCAAACTTGGCAGCGGCGGGACTAGTCCTTGCGGTCTCACGGCTGCCTGCATCTCGGCGCGAATGGCTCTCCTCCTCATCCGCAAAATTGTAATCTTCGCCATCATAAGACTCAGATTTGGCAGTATTAGGGTTGGGCCTACCGGCATCAGATCCCTGCTTTGAGCTACTGCCCCAACCTGCGGTTGATTTCAACAGATCATCGTATCCGAAGTCCGTGAATTTCCGCTCCCCGTGCTCATCAAACTGACCTGGATTTTGAGAACCAGTGGACCGGCCCGGGATACCTCCCGGAGCCAGAGCCATAGTCCCTGGTCCCTGCGGCCTATTCTCAAACTCATCCGAGACCTGCGACTCACCTGGAACAAGAGATCTCGGAGGTCGAATCGGCATGGCCTCCGGGTCATCCGAATGAGGGCGGGCCATGTCCATCGCCATGCTGATGAAGTCAAAACGTCCACGCCTATGACCTGATTCAGAGCCACTCCTATCGGAGTAAACCCTTCGTGTCTGCTCGTCATCAGTGGCCTGGCGGAAAATACGATCGTCTCCATCGTCGGCGTACCTGCCACGGCTCCTGGGTGTATCCCTACCGGGATCTTCACCCCTGCGGTCCTGACCTGTCGAACCTGCTTCGAAATCCTCGTAGTCATAGTCCGGTAGGTCCTCACCTGAGCGGAGGCCACCTAGGATGGCCTCCTCATCCACGACGCTCCTGCGAGATCGTGGGGTCGACATAGAGCTTGTAGTTGATGGTCTCAAGCGCGTAGGAAAGTCCTACGGCTGATAACCTGTGATTCGGGCACGAGCCTGTGCCCAGGCAATGGGTAAGTTGGGGTAAACAAGCCACAAAAGAAAGGTTCCCCAAAAGCAAACCAATCCCCGGTCCCAAAGATCAGGGTTTCCCACACACCAGAGAACAACAACCAAAAGGAAACAAACCAAACAAGAAAAGGGTTAACCCGCAACCTTGGTCGACAACAGGCCGCACGACTGGTCCCTACCAACCTGGCGGCGGCCCGAGGTCTCTTTCTCCCCCGAGATGCCGTCGGTCGACGCAGGGGTTCGGCGACGCCCATTCGAGGCGCGACGGAACCCAAAACTTGAGCCAAACACCACAGGTCAGTCACTACCGCGACATCCCTGGTGATGTAATAAACCATGGCTAATCACAAACAAGTAAAACCACCGACCTTCATATTTCATGCCTTCAGGGGGAGCTCCAATATGATTTTTGCCCAGATCAGATTCCGAAAAAATCTGAGGCTCCTGCTGCAAACGGCCCCTTTGGTCAAAAGACCTCGGATTGCGACCCGGCGACGCGATTTGGTTCTCAAAACATCGAGATGCATCCGTCCGCAAGTTGTCAGGGAAATGCTGCAGCGAAAGGGAATGGAGCGATGACTGCAGCCTGTTGAAGAAGATACCCTTGGCATGAAGTGGGTGTACCTGCAACCAAGTTTCCGCCATATAGCTGTGGGCCCAAAACCAATGGTACCATTTTGGGGTAGGTGCACCACCCATTTTAGTCTATTTTAGTGGGGATTGGGATGTTCACTGGGGATAAGGGATTTTGACCCATGGCCATATATACCCTTCCTCCCACTGAAAGAAGGCATGTGGGAGACTTGAAGATCAGCTTCCTCTTGGGATCGGGTCCCTGTGAGGTGCCATCGAGGGTATCATCCGACTGGAAACATCAGGGATCCGTATGGGTGAGCTCGTCCAGCCCAGTGAGCTCGTTGTTTCGTCCGGAGCGGACAAAGGTCCTCTCGTCTTGGCAGACCAAAAGGAGGAATCCTGGAATCGCTTTAAGGGCACGTACTTTGCCAAGGGCGTCTTACAAGGTCAACCCTCCCGAAGGAGGATATTTTAACAGGTGAGAGGGTTTCACCTCTGACTCATCCGCAGAGCTGTGGGAACTGCATCCCACTTCATACACCTAAGAAACGATTCTCCGCTGACTCGTTCTTCAGGGAGAGAAACCCGGGCTTGTCTTCTGAATACAGAATCGGTGTTGCCCCAAAACTCTCAAGCTGTGGACACCACGCGAAATGACCTGAGTGACAAATTCCCATGTTTGGGGCGGGGAGAATCCTGTTGTGAGACACGCCCTAGGTGTCCTTTTGCAACAATAGATGTGCATTAAACCAACCTGAACCACGGCCATCTATTTTTGAGCACAGCAGCCTAAAAAGGACACCTATGCGCCCTATGCGGAGCAGAGCAGGTTTCCAATCCATACCTCAAGCCACTTTGTGGGTCTTTGGGGTCTTTGGCGTCTTTGGCCACTCAAAACGTTCCTTAAGGCTGCTGACCGACTCGGAACCACTTGAATTCCAGGAGAGAAACGGCAGCTCTGCAACAGCTTCGCAAACCAAAACGCCAAGGGTCTTCTTTTTCGAGAAGTACGCTACCACCAGAAAGGCGACACCTGACCGGATGCCAAAGGAAGCAGAGAAACTCGACCCCAATGGACCCAATTGCTTCGTTCAGACTAGACGCTTCGACGCCTCAGGCTCCCACCACGATGCATTGGGCTCGCAGCTGTGCGAGAACTTGGATCCTCCGTTCGCTGGCGCTGGCGCGACAAGCAACGGGTCGGTGGGAACAGCTTTCAGCCAGACTGTGGGACAAAAAATAAAAATTCCCAAAATGGAAAATCCGCAAGCTCGATTTGTGAGATGTGAGTAAAAAATCTGAGCAACGAACCCAACTCTTAAGCGCTCCCAGGGAGGAAACCCACAGGCTCCATTTCCGAGTTGTCCCTTTCCTCTGCGTTTCTCTCGACTCAAATCAGGGTTGGGCAGCAAGCGCCAATGCTATACACCGGACGCGAGAGAACAACAAACACAATGAACCCTGCAATCATAGTCAAATCCGCAGTTCCTCCGGTCGCAAGCAGAGCAATAACATCATCTTGAGGAGAGCAATAACATCATCTTGGAGAAACCAAAAGTGCCCGAAGGCTCGGAGAGGAAACAAGGCAACTTAATACTCAGGGTTGCTCAAACCCGAGGGGAGAAAAGGTTGGTTCCCTGTCCATGGAAACCTAAGGAAACCCCATCGTCTACCCAGGTGTTTGGCCATCTCAAGCTGCTCGGACAGCATGATAAGGCCCCGTTATAGAAGGTATATTTTATTGTTTGCTTCACGTTGAGTCACTGGTAAAATGTAAAATGTATCCTAAGTCTACCGCAGACAGGGTTCCTTCAAGGATACACCCAAGCTAGGCGACGTAGCTGGGGTCGCTCGCCCAGCACGAAGATCCCGGTGAACTCTGCGTGGCTCGGCCTGCGAAGTCACGAAGAGTGACACCCGCCGGTTTGGGAGTGGGTCAATGGGTGGAGGGGGGGGGTGGAGTAAACTATAATCTGAACAAGGATCTCCTTGGAGGGTCTCAAAAACCGGCTGTCTCACCCACGCATGCTGTGCTGCCATATAGGCTGGTGCTCGTTCCGCTTCCGCCGTGTCACTTTGAGGCTATTCTGGGTGATGGTCTCCCTTTGGAGCCTTGATAAACTTGATGCCCTAGAAGTGCTTGTCTGGAGTTGCAAGCACACAATGTCGTCAGGCTCGGGAAAAGGAGAGTGTGTGGGAAATGAGAAGGTATGCCCACAAACAACAAAACAAACTAACAAAAAGGGCAAAAATTGGCCGGAAGAGCCACGTTTATGATCCCCCTCCCCTAGACACCCTGAGCCCGCAAGTCATTTTATGAATCGGTCAATCCTCGTGGGTTCCCAGCGCACAAGACATCCCCTCCGGCCAAATGCCCTGAGATTCCCGCCGCTCGTCTTTGTGGATGTTGAGGTCCACAATGTGCCTCGGGGAGGGGGGGAGGGGTTCGCAGGCCTGGCAACGGGAGAAAAGCTGATACCCAGCCCCCGTTGGTTTCAGAGTTGAGGCTATGTTCCTGTTCCAATCTAGATGTCGCCGGTTGAAAGTCCTTCGTGTGTTGGTGGAAGAAGTGTCCAGTTAGATCCCTTTGGGCTCTGGTTCTGCAGCAATTGTTCTGCAAACACTACATTGGGTGAGGGTTACCTTTGGTTCCCTAATCACCGCTATTTGTTCGGTGCCCGAGAGACGTTGGGATGGGCCTTTAGGCAAACCTCCACTCAGAGCTTCCTCACATTGCACAAAGGAGGACTGCTCGCGGTTCAAGGTCGAAATGACTTGCTTCCCCAGTTGCCTGTTTTTTTTGTCAGAAACTTGCTGAGCCTCCCCATGTGCTTTCAGGGTGCAGGGCTGTCGTTCGTGTCCCTTGCTTGGAAATCTGGCAGGCGTCGGGTGGTCGTCTGGGTGGTCAAACATATGTGGTGTCACTACACTCGCCAGGGTTCCCTATAATTCCCTTAAAACATTAAGACTAACCTAACACAATGGCACCCCAATCAAATTGCCACCCATGAGCCGCTTTTACTTCTCACACCTCTGGGGTGGCAGGAAAAAATTGTAGACCCCCCCGCCCCCTCAAGGAAAAAAAACAAAAACCCAACAAAAATGGTATCCCCAACAGCAGCCGCTAGAACCCTTCGGGCTCCGAGCCACTGTCCCACTCCAGCTGCTCCGCACCCCAATCCGAACGCCAAACCACCAATAGAACAACTGCTTCAGTGCTTCATGGAACCCGCAGGAACTCTATGGAACGAATGCAACCAAACTTCCAGAACTTGGAACCCTCCGGAAACCGCTCTAACCCAAAACCTGCCGGAACATCCGTGAACCGATGGAACCCTCTGAAGCGTCCGGAGCCCTGTAGAACCCGTCGGAACCCTCCGCACGGAACCCTCCGCACGGAACCCTACCTCCGAGCTGCTCGGGACTGAGCAAAAACCACAGCTTTCAGCTGTTGAACATAGATGGCTGCTCAGAAAACCGGCGCCCTCTGCATCTTGGCCCCCCACTCAGACCGAAAGTTCGCCCGGGCTGCCGGGCAGGAAGCGCAGCAGCTGCGCTGGGCTCCAACCGGTCGCCCGCAGCCTTAGTGCGAGCCCGGACAGGAATGTAGGAATGCAGATGTACCCTGTGCATCTTGGCCTACCGGAAACCAGGAAAATCAGATCCCATTTTGGGGGGTCCGTTGTGACACACACACACACACGAGAAAGCCATTCCCCACCCGCGCAGGTGCGGAGCCCACCATGAAAGCTGGTGGGATGCCCCTGAACATCCGCACTCACACGTGGAAAGGGGGTAAAGAAAAGAACCTGGACGCATGAACTGTGCGGGCCAAATCAAGCCTCTAACCATAGGAGTCGCAGCCCCATACTAGTCGACAATGGGCGATTCTGAGCAAAATAGAACACCTTTGGCAGCTTGAATTCAAACGCGAGAATGAGAAAGCAAGGCCCGGCTTACTTCTGACCCCTCTGCCGCTGGAATAAACTAAGTGCCGCCTTCTCTGGTTGCATTTGTTGCGTTGCTCCAGCTGTGTGGTCAAACACGGCACTTCCAAAGTTGTTGCTTGATTGGTCTGCTTACACATGATGGCAAAATCCTGCAAAGCAAGCCTACTTTAACTTCGCGGGAACCCTGGAACAAGGCCCAGAAGTACCCCCAGCCTACGGAACCCAGAACCCTCCAGGATGCCCCAAAAACCACCCGAACCCAGCGCTGTGGTGTTCAAAGTCCCCCGCTGTCAAGAAAAAAAAGGGGGCTCGCATGTCCCATCTCCCATCCATGTCGGAGCTGCGGGGGCCACATCTGCAGCAACTCCTCGCAGGCCGTGATGTGCGCGCTCTCCTGGCTGCGCCTGGAAGTGTTGAGCTCTCGAGAGCCGGGGATCAGGGCCGAAATGCCCTCCCACCAATTAACATGGAACCTGACTGGGGGCCCTTCTAAAAGGAACGTTGTCTTCCAGGACCCCCCAAACGTCAGGTTCCATGTCAATTGGTGGCTATTGACTATTGACGTCATGGGCAGCTGAATTGAATCATATCACCCCATGATCATGGGAGAATCTGGAAAACTGTGCGCGAACACAGTACCTGTGGGCGGATACCTGGAATGTCAATTTCCTCTTCAGGGGACCCTCTGTCAGGTGCCTTAGTGAACTTCTCTGGGTTTTGATTGTGGCTGGAGTGACTTGCTGGTTCTCAGGGAATCAACAGACATTTCGGAAATGAGCCAATTGTTCCGCTCAAAGGAGACTTCGCAGGGGTGAGTCCCTCGAAATCTCAGAAATAGCAAGACGTGAAGCGACTGGTCTTTTGACGAGGGCACCAAATGGGTGTCTCAAAATGGGCTTAACATGGGTGGTTCCCTTTTGCTTGCCCTCAAAACAAGCCCAAAAAGTCATGGGTTCATTGATGGACCCCCCCTGAAAAAAAACCCGAGGATACAAGGCCGAATAAGGGTTGACCACCCAGCCCAGGAAAGAAGGGCTGCCAAACGAACTCATGAAACGGGTACCCTCAAAAAGCAACACACCGAACTCAGCCATGATCAACAGCATGCCTCTCCGTGATCGGGTGTGCGTAGAAGAGCTCGAGGGCGGCTTCCCTCACTTCCTGAGCCAGCCCGGGCGGGGTGAGACTCCTAGCTTCTGTTTTCTCAGGAGGCGGGGTGGTTGCGGCGGTGGTGGTGGTTTTGGTTTTGTCGGCTGCTGCTGCTGCTGCTGCTGCTGCTGCTGCTGCTGCTGCTGCTGCTGCTGCTGCTGCTGCTGCTGCTGCTGCTGCTGCTGCTGCTGCTGCTGCCCCAAAGGAGCTTTGCGCCGAACAAAACCTTTTAGATACTCCGTATGAGCGCTCTCGCCATGTTCGCAGACACCCGCCAGGCCTTTACGGCTCGGAAATAAGAGGCAACGCAAGGCGTACCGTCTGAAGATTGCTTGATGGTTTTGACATGGGTCTTGCTTGCCCTAGTGAGGTAGGCTATGCACATGGTGAAATAAAGAAACCATCTCCTGTCCTCTGCATGATCCTGGCAATAAACTTCTTACTTGAGCAAGGCTCAAGATATGCTGTTGCCCAAAGTGAATCAAATTGCATTGTTGCAAGGGAGTACCTTGGTCTATCCGCACTTTCTAGAGGGCAAAGAAGAAGTTTCCCACGCAATGCAGCATACCCAACATCCATCCAGAACCGTAAACTTTGTGGCTGGGGTTCGCTGGGGGCTAGCTATTCCCCAGACCATCCAATTACTGTCAACCCCGGATTCATCGACCTGGTGGCGTACTACCGCCCCAGGGGTTGTTAACAAGGGGCGGTTCAAGCAATCTGCATTCCCTCCAGAATAAGACGCCCCCAATTAACCAGGGGGATTGATCCTGGGTTCCCAGCACCTGTTCCCCAAAGTGATACGGATTCCCAAATGTACGGAGCACCCCAGATTAAAAACAAAAAACACTACCGGGGGTGATTGACCCTGGGCTCCCTACGTCACCCAAGTGATACGGATTCCCACATACACGGCCAGGGCTTCATCCAGGGCCCTTTCCTTTTCCGGCCTTGTCAGTGGACCCCCAGTCCACTCCCAGCGCAGGCTGCAGGAAGCCCTGAAGGCCGAAAAGGCACGCCGCCAGTGGATGTCCATGGTCAAAACAAATGGATCTTCAAGGGAACCCCCACCAGTGGTCTGGGCCTATGGGTTTCGCTTCAAGGGGAATCTGGGTTCTTCCCCTCCATGTTCTTTTTGACAACCCGAAAAACCTCCAGCAAGACAGACTCCAACGTTCACCCCACCGCAGCAAACTCAATCAAATTTAGGGCCGAAGGGGGAAGTGCAAGAACCTTTGCCTGCCTTCTGGGCCCTCAAACAAAAACCAATTGTTGCCACCCATAGCAGGACATGTTCGCTTGGCCCATTGCACACCAATCACTGGCGGTTGCAGTTCTGTGGGGTGCCTATTTCACCATGCCAGCACCGCCTTCGCTTTATGAACCTCTTAGATGTACCCAAGGTGTGTAAAGGGCAAACGGAGAACTTGAGCGCAAGGGACCGCGCAGAGCAGAGCAATGCATACAGAACTCTAGATTAGAACATGGAACCAAGAAGCCATCAGGTTCAGAGATATCTCCTTTGGAAAGGACCCATTTCTTGGACACCACTCTTATGTCCGGGGTTGTATATTGGGTTGCATTGAAATAGGGACCTCCAACTGGGTGGCTTCGAAACAAAGCCACGCCAATACCCTATCGATTCCTTTGCCAGGGAAATCAATCGAAATTGTGTTCCACGAGGGAACGTATGGGAACCCTTTTGCGCCTTCGACTGCATCCTTGATCGGGAAGGAACCAGCCTTTTCTCGACTCTTCTGTCGTGAGTCCCACACCTGGTACTGAAGAGATCTCCCAAACCAAGTGAGTCATAATGGAAGCGTGGTATATAAATGGTCTACCCAGAACCATGTATATTTTTTATTGAAGAAAGAATCGGCCGCACCTGTGAAAAGGTTGGGACTGTCCCTTACTAACTTTCATCTACCCGGGTTTGGAGCAAGTGGCGCTGTAAAAATAAAAAAAAATAAAAACGATCCGCACCCCGTGGATGGACGAAATCAATCCACTTTGCAACTATAGGTCTTCCCGCTCTTCAAAGGGCCTCATCCATCCCAACTGCAGGATTGTGGCCATCCACCGTATGGCCGGGACCGTCCCCCCAACCTTCATCTGGGTCTGGAGAGGTGGGGTTACGCAGGTTTTAGTCTTTGAGTCCCCTTTACCAGGGTTCCATTTTGGGTACCCCTTTTTGACCCACAGCCATCTGGCGGAAAGGCCTTCCGGCCAATGTGCAGGCGAACGGTTCCTCGCCCAAATCCATCGCCTCCAGATCTCCGAAGCGCTCCAACAGCCGCCTGCGCTTCGAACTTCTCTTCGCGGGCGCTTGGACCGAACCGAAAAATGTTTTTTGAACACATGGAAAAACGAAGAGAAGAGAGGCAAACAGACCAAGAGAGGCAGGAAACTGGACAACAATAAGAAACAACAAGAAACAAGAAGAAACAAAAAAGAAACAAGGAGAAACAAGGAGAGATAAGGAGAGACTGTTTGGTCAACAAAAAAGGATGTTTGATGCAAGCCTACTCACACACACACACTTCCTATTGAGGGATTTGTCAACAAAAAGTCCAAACTGTTTGTTTACCATTGCATGATCTACCCGAAAAGTGTAAAGTCCAGCAACTCAGGAATTGGAACCAAACTGTCGGGAACATTCCCCTGGATGCATGCCTTTGTTGGATGCTCACCTGCCTCCCAAGTCGCAGAGAAAGCGAAGCAGTCGGGTCGGAATTTATTTGGCCCTAGCCGGTGTTGCTTTCAAACTATCTCAAGGTCCCAGTTTACTTTGACACTGGAATCCTCTGAGTGCTTGGCTCAGGCCCTCTCATTGGCCTTAAAGGCAAACCAGTGCGCACGGAACCCTCTGTGTGGTTTTGTTCGGAAAACGTAGGAAAGCCTTTGTGTTGCTCGGAAAGCGTCCGAAGACAAAGCCATCGGTTTACAAACTGGCCAACCATGAGGTCAACCTCAGTTTTTCCTGCGCGTATTCTTCAGAATGTGCCGCCTGGCCGCGTCTTTGAGCGGCAGAATGCGCAGCAGGGCATCCTGGCCGAGCCAGCGCGTCCAAATAAAATGGGACGTATGCTGGGGCATTTTAGCTTCCACGACAATTTGCAGAGTAGCAAGCAATGCAGGAAGAATCTCTGCATGGTTAAAATGACTTGTCCCCAGAACGGACATGGGAATTTCGTGAGCTCCCTGTGTCCCTCCCAACTCGACCAAGAAAATATGGACCGAACCTCCTCACCATCACCCAATACATGGCAAGTTGCCCCAACTTGTCACCATTTTCTGCGCAGATCCCAATATCCAATCATAACGTTCCCCCATGTCCCTCCCACATTCCCCCATGTCCATCCCAACCCCACCAACATGGGACACCTCTCTCATCCGCCCCACCTCTGCGATGATGAGGTCACCCGCGCTGATGGCGCTTCGAGCGACTGCGTGGACTCCCAACCTTGGCGGCACCATAGGCACACCCTCCCACCGGCTCATATGGCTGTGGGTCAAAAATCGGTGCCCCAGATGGAATTCTGGTTCCATATCCTGGCAGTTGAACATTTTGACCCATGGCCACATTGAAGTGAGCAGACTCTCAGACCGTGGAAAGACGACTTTCCGAGGGGAAAGGGGCTGCACTTCCATGTTAGTTGCTGGGGGGTTGAAATGTCAAACAAAAATGAGAGGCGCGGCTGAGTTTTTTTGCATAGCCCTGGCATTAGCCTAACCCTGGCGCAGCCTGGCGTGCACGAAAGGAGACACTAACGGGTTTGGGGTGGGTTTAGGGTAGTCTGTTTGGGGTAGGTTCAGACCTGGAAAAACACCCTTTCCAAAGATGAGATGATGAACAAAACAGCATGCGCCAAAGGCTCATGCGTCCCACAAACGTACAAGCAGTGAGTGGACCCAGCGACCTGTGAAGTACGCGGCGCCTTTTTTCGCATTTAGGGCCGCCATGGCGGGCGGGCAACATTTGGCCGCGCGCGCCGCCACGCGCTCTGGTACCGGCACCAGCAGGCCTCAAGCAAGTGCTCCAATCAGGTCAATTACACACAAAACTGGAAGAGGTAGGCCGTCCTCAGGCCAGTAAAGGGGGCTTCCTGACTTTGAGCAGGGAAGCAATCAGGTCAGGGCGAGGGGTCGGAGCAACTCTTTAACCGCGCCAACATCGCACAAATCTCCGGCCAAAAACAACAATCAAGATCGCGCGTTGCTCTGGGATTCGTGGGGTTCGGCTCAGCTCAGGCTGCTGCCGGGAGCACCCGTGCGCTGGACTTTCCTGGTCAAAAAGGATGACCAAATACGATCTCTGGCGCAGCATCAAAACACAAACTGCGCAGCTGGCATCGTCGTCACGACGGTGTGGGAATGTGGCATGTTTCCCAAGCAACTCGTGCACCTGCAGCTGAATCTTGATCCCTAGCTAACCTGTACTTCCCATTTTTTCCAGGTGGCTTCTTCACATCGATGATGGGTGAAAAGACTTGGCGATCAATTACCTAGAGGGTGCTTCGTAGTTCCTTTTTTCGGTTTTTCGCGAAAAACCAGAAATAATTGGTTCCGTTTTATTTTTTGGTTTTTCACCCCAGCCTGCAGGGGCAGTTTTCAGGAAATGTCCAGATTGGACCCCAAAAGCCCGCTGGAGGGGCAGTGCACAAGCAGAGCAGCAACCACCGCACTTGAATAAACGCTCCCTGGCTCACACACAAAGCAGTGAGGGCCCGAAATACCCAATTTCACACCCAAATGCAAAAATCTTTCTGTTGAGCAGCGTTGCAGCTGAACAAGGCACACTCCCTAGTGCGTGTGGCGCAAAACCTTTGGAACAAAAAATGTGTACAAACGTTCAGTTTGTGCATGTGTTCACTAGTTTTTTGGATTTGCTCTTTTTGCCTTCTTCTGTTTGTGTTGCCTGACACTGTCCTTCCTCCTTTGTACTTTCTGCGCCCTGATTCATTCTTTATGTTAATCTACTGGACCCTCTTTCCTAACTTAGCGGTTCCTTCTGCTCTACTCATGTTATTTCATTGTTAAACTATGCCTCTTTGCCATTTCCAGTTCTGCGTATATCTCTCCGTCACATGTTTCTCCGCGACACACCCAAGCGTGCGCAGCTATGAGCAAAACCAACACAACCCTTACAGGGCCGGTTCGTTGGGATTCCCAAGGCTCATGTTTGTTTCAGCGCGCTTCCATGGAAACAATCACGGTTCGTGGGAACTCCCAAAGGATCATGTTTGTTTCAGCGCACTGCTATGGAAACAAACCTGGTTCGTTGGGGTTCCCAAACAACTGTGTTTTCCTATCCAAGTAAACAGGCTTCCCAAAGGACCATGTTTGTTTCCATGGAAACAACCATGATTCGTTGGGATTCCCAAAGGACCATGTTTGCTTTCCCCCATGCCCCATGGAAACAATCATGGTTCATTGGGAATCCCAAAGAACCATGTTTGTTTCAACCATGTTTGTTTCAGCTTTTTGCCATAGAAATAAATAGGGTTCATTTGGATTCAAATGTTTGCTTCAGTTCGCCATGATAAGAAACAGGGTTCGTTGGGATTCCCAAAGCACCATGTTTTTTTCAGCTCTCTTCTGTATGGGAATATAGAAATAAACATGGCGCGTTGGGAATCTCAAAGAACTGCGTTTGAGTTTTTGGGTGGGTCGCCTTTGTCGCGGTGGCCCTCATCTCCGACGAGACTTTGCAGGGCTTTGCGAACAGTGCCGCACTCAGATATTTTCCATCGCCTTTCACGAGTCCCACCTCAGTTTGGTGGAAATGAGCCACTTCTGGGCAACCCGCAAGGAAGTGTTGCTGATGTGAACAGACCGTGCTATCCGAGAAGATTGGCCCACATAGTCTTCCGCCATTTGGGTCCCAAACGCAGCAGGGTTTAACACAAGATCATTTGTGGTGGCGTCGATTTGCTTGCGGAGATCGTCGCAAATATGCATGAGATAGTGATGTTTGGGAGTCAAATTGAAGTACACCAAATCCTTGCGGAAGCAGCTCAAGGCAGTCGCGTAATACTGAGCAATGTACTCCTCACAAAGATTCAGCCCCTGTGTCGCATGTTCTTTGCTCAAGTACGTCCGGACTTGCGATGAGTAGCACAGGCGGAGAAAGGCGTCAATGGCTTGGCCTGCTTTGAAAGCCGATGCAGTGATGTCATCAAAAGCAACTGGGCTCGCCAGATAATCCAAGAGAAAATCAAGAATTAGAGGCATGTCCGACGCTTTGAAGGAACAGTCAGGGAAGTCGCTCTGGCTCGGCCACGGAAGGTTCTCTCGAGTAAAGTGCTTAACATGAGGGGTTGCCCTCCGCGTTTTGCAGTGCTGAGCAAATGCCATGTAGGCCACTTCTAACCTCAATGGAATAGAGTCTCCTGCCTTAGCGCATCGAATTCCAAGAGCTAAAAGTGCATGAACAGGAAGAAATGTAACACGCGGAAGCAAAACTGTACTAAGGCTGCACAAGCAACAAGGGATGGAAAGTGGCCAACGCTGATCAGGTAGCACAGCAGGCTGCAGCAAAATGCACGGAGAACCCCCAAGTGACACAAATGGAAAATGTCTTTTGACACAACGATTTCTGACTCGCACCCTGGGATGCTATGCATTGGGGATGCTGTTGTCCAGGGGACTTGCGCGCCCACCGTTGCCCTCCATCGAGCATGCAAACCATGGTCAGAAAACGGCACATCCTTGTCGTTGGCGAGACAGTACGGGCAAATTGCATTTGGGATGCAGTTAAAATTACGCCGTAGATGAAAGCCCTTAGCTTGTGCGGGCAAATCCCCTTCATGGGAGATGAAGACCCCGTACATCACGCCAACAGTGGGCAATGTGACGCCCGTGTGGTACAACTCGCAGGCTTGCTCAGCAAAATGCCCCAACAAAGCATCAACCACACTGTTCCCGCGTTCATATCCATCGTGCGCTTTTTTGTACTGTTCGTGGGGCATGGAGCTGAAGAGCATGTAGTGCTCCCAAGATGCTGGGGCTGACCTCAAGAAGGGCCCCCACGAAATTTGCAGCACTGGCATGCGACGCTGACCTGTCCCCTCGTCCATATGGCTCTTCATTGGGATGCATCGCGAGAGTGACTCAGCACGATCAAAGAACACCCGATGGTTTGGGTTCCAAGCACGATACCTGACTGAGACCCCCCTCATGCAAAGAAAACCGATTTGTCAAGTTGAAAGGGAGAAAAGCAACACTGAGATTGATCAAAAAGGTAAGCTATGTCAAGCAAGGCCGCGTTTCCCAGAACTGCATGAGCTCACGTTCAAAACAGAGCGCTGGCTGCACGGCGTGGCCGCCCAAAAGTTTCTGAGGGTAATGCTTCAAAATCATGGTTGCCAGTTCAACCATATTCAAGCAGTGATGGCTTTTCCCTGGGCCCAGCCCAATGGAAGAAACTTTCATAGGCAAGGCCATACCGAGCTGAAACACTTGGCGCACAAGCACCTCTTCCTGCTTGCTGGCTGTGTGCGCAGCACCCAAAGCTGCAAGCTCTGCTTGCCATGGTTGGCCAGGGGCCATTGTTTGGGCCTGTATGAAGGCACTGTGGGCAGCAGACGCTGCTCCCTTTGCCTGCCAGTGCAGTTTACACACCCTACAGCGATCAAATGGATTGAAAAGAAAAGGCTTTGGATACCACCTGCTTTTATGACCCAGCAGATTGACACGAAACAAGCTGCATTGCGCTGTATCGAGGTTTGTGACCACTACGGGACGTGATTCTCAGAAACTAAGGTGCGCGCTATGTACTCCTGAAGCACCTTTCGGACAGAGTCCGCACCTGCGTGGCAGGCAGGGTGCGCTTGGGTGTTGGCTTGCCTCGCATGCATCGCTTCGGGCGCCACACGCATCATGCAGAAGTTTCTTTTGCTCTCTGGCACCCCAAGTAACGCCGGTGCGGCGGCACTATCGGCCAATACTTGCTTGGCCCCCCCAAGAAACTAAGGATCGCTGTCGCTTGCATTTTGTAGCATAATCCATTTAACTTGTTTGGTCATGAAGTGCGTTTGGTGAAACCACATGACACCTGTTCAAGAAAACCTGACACCCATATGCTGAAGTTTCATATCGAACGCAAGCACTCAGCAATCATCATCATCTGCACCTTCGGTCTTAGCCTTTTTGGCCTTTGACTTGCCTTTGGCTTTTGCCGATGGCCGCTTCTTCAAGTATGTCTTAGCAGCAGCCAAAACGTTGTTAAATCTCGTGCATTCGTCTTTCACCCTCTCAAAAATCGCTTCGAATGGCTTCTTTGACCTGGGGGTCGCGAGCTCTGAAGCACATGCAAGGGACAGCGTGCGTCAGTGTGTCTGAGGGCTATACTCAGGGTTCTTCTTCAGCTCGCTCACCTCCATTTCGCAGAGGTCACGGAAGAGATTGTTTACCACACCTGGGATTCTTGGAGAAAGAAAGCTAAAACACTATCAGCGATTTCCACTGAGTTGTTTAGCAACTTGAAACAGAAAAGACGCAGTGGCAATCGCAAAAGATGATGTGTTGTTTTGTTTCTCAAACTACTGACATTTCAGAAATTGGGGTCGAGATGAACATGTTTAAAGGACACGGGTCAGCAGCAATCGCAGCAGCCGAGCTGTTTTTCGGTTTGGAACCATCAAGGACTCCTGAAGGCAGCAAAGCTCTTGAGATTGCCACTGTGTCTTAGGTTTGGGGGCGAGACGCATATGTTCACCCATCAAATCAGAAAAAGACCCAGTGGCAATCGCACAAGCTGAGCTGTTTTCATTTCGGTTGCTGAGATGGCCGCGGTTGCTGAGATGGCCACTGTGTATTTCAGAACAAGAAAAGGCGCAGTGGCAATCGCAGAAGCTGAGCTCTTTTTCGGATAGGGACCATCAAGGAAATTCTGAAAGCAGCAAAGCTCTTGAGATGGCCACTGTGTATTTGCAGAACTAGAAAAGACGCAGCGGCAATCGCAGAAGCTGAGCACTCTTTTTCGGTTTGGGACCATCAAGTAAATTCTGAAGGCAGCACAGCTCTTGAGATGGCCACGGTGTCTTTTTAGACTTTTCGGGGGCGAGACACACATATGTTCACAGGACACCCGTTGAATGAGAAAAAGACCCAGTGGCAATCGCAAAAGCGGAGCTGTTTCATGTCCAAAACATCCTGCAGGCAGCAAAGCTGCTGAGATGGCCACTGTGTGTTTTCAGAATTTAGGAGCTAGAAGCAACACGTTGCAACCCAGATCAGACTCAGTGGCAATCGCAGAAGCTTGGCTGTTGTGATTTCATTCTGGGACCAAGGGCTCCAAAAAGTAGCAAAGCTCTTGAGATGGCCACCCTGTCTTGTCAGAGTGAGTTTTGGGGCGAGAGTACATTTTTACAACCCCTCAATAAACCAGAAAAGACACAGTTGGCAATCTCATGAGCTTTGCTGCGTTCAGAAGTGAGACGGCGAGACTGCCAGGGCGAGCCAACACGCACGCGCAAACACAGCTGGACGTGTCATCTGCAGTTTGGACACAACACATATACATAAGCACACCGTGGAATGCATCAGCTATACACACTCGCACGCAAACACACAGACACACGCACACACACACACATACACACACACACACACACACACGCACACACACCCAAACCCACACCCACACCCACACCCACCCACACCCGCACCAACACGCACACGCACACGCACACGCGCACGCAAACGCACACGCACACGCACACGCACACGCACACGCACGCACACGCACACGCACACGCACACGCGCACGCACACGCACACGCCCACGCCCACGCGCACGCGCACGCACACGCACACGCACACGCGCACGCACACGCACACGCACGCTCGCACGCACACGCGCACGCGCGCGCGCACGCACACGCATACGCACACGCGCACGCACACGCGCACGCACACGCGCACGCGCACGCGCACGCGCACGCGCACGCGCACACGCACACGCACACGCACGCACCCACACACACACACTGACGCACGCACGCACGCACGGTGTTGTATATGTATATATGTATAGATATATGCACGAGCGCGGCTGAGAGAAATATAAATGTGAGTACTCTTTCTTTCGCTTTGCCTGCCACCTTCTCCAGGTTGATGAAGTCATCCCTTAGGCCAGAAGTTTGCCCAAGCCGCAAAAAGAAATATGTGTGCTCCTTTTTTCAAGCATGGCTGATGTTTGCCCAAGCGTCTTCCCTGCTTGAGGGGCCTCAGCCTCCCATCGCTCAGCCAGTTCCCGAAACGCCGCGCGCCGGTTGAGGCAAGCTTTCTTGTAGCGCGCGAGCATCTCCTTGAGACTCTCATCCCCGTCCACCGAAGGGAACGGGTTGGGCTTCTTCTTCCCGCCAGAGCCTGCGGGCGCATTGCCTTCGCCCTCGTCGTCGCTGACCTCCAGCATGTCCCCCAAGTCCATGCTGAACTTCTCCGACCAAAGGCCTAGGCAAATGGCGACAGTTGCCGCCCCCTCCCTCACGTCCCTGCCTGTTGCTGACATGAGCTCCTCCAGCTCCCGTAGCCGCTCATCACCCTGCCTGTAGTGGCACTTCAAAAGGAATTGAATTTGAGCAACAGCACTCACACATGAGGTTCAAGAGCATGGCTTAGGCGAGGACTCCACTTTGTCGGACACCAACACCAGGTATTTCTTCACGTTTTCGTAGGTGCAATCTTTCAGCAACTTCTTGCGCGTGCAATGCTGGATTGCGCCTTTGATTTTGCTCCTTAGGCCAACGGAAGCAAATGCGTGACCACACTTATAAACGCGCAATGCAATGTTTCATCACCACCGCCCCGGGCTCAAGAAAACAAAAAGATTGAAAGAGAAATCAGGATGTCAAAATCGCATGCGGAAGAGGCACTGTGACCAGTTCTTCCCTGTCATTTCCTCTTCCGTCAGCCACTCAAACCCACGCATTCCTTTGCGCCACTCGCGCGAGGCTTGCTTCAACTTGACGAGCGCTTCCAGTCTGGCCTGCAAGGTGTGTTCGAAAGGCATGGGCGACGCGGCGTCGCGTTTAAATAGGGTTTGCACGTTTGCCCACAAATTGTTGTTGCAAGGCTATAGCGAACACAACCAACACCCGGTCGCAGCCATTTATGCACAATTTGGAAGAAAGGACATTTTGAGCACCCACTCCTATTTCGAATGTTGCAAAGGCACACCCCACCTTGTTGGCCGTGAAGGACTCAGAGGCATCGTAGGCTTTCGTCACAAACTGTTTCAACAGTCTCTCCCTTGAACCCCCTCCTTCGCGCCATTGCTGTAGGATTTCTCCATGCACACCCTTCTTCTCGCCGTCTTTGCATAGACGGTACATGAAAGCCCACGCTTCTGGACATGTGATTGAGTTGAACGTCCTTGCGCCAGCAATTTGAACCACGCACGAGCGCCCCGTCGCAAGCGTATTTTCACTCTCTCACTCTCTCTCTCTCTCTCTGTCTACGTTTTCTCACCACACCGCTGTGTTCCTCGTTGGTTTCACTCTCTCCTTCATTCGTCGCTCTCGACCAACTATTACGCAAAAATGCACCAAGTTTTCGGGGCGAACATGCGAAACCAAACGACTGCACACGCCGGCACACGCGCACACGCTAACACACACGTGAATATCATGGCGCGCGGCGTGCGCATGCTGTGTATGCACATGCACATGCACACACACACAAACACACAAACACACACACACCAGCCTTTCAACCCATCCCAAGCTATGAGTGAAACCCTTGCCCCAACAACCCAAAAATTAGTTTGAAGCCATGGCGCTCTCTCGCAGGCAGCTTTGGCTGCGGTTGCGGCTGCAAAGCCACTTCGGCGGCTGGCTGCTGCGCTGGCACCGTGGCAGTGTGACTGCCAGGCGCGTGAGGGGTTGGGGGGGGCGTCGAAGCAGACAGACCTGGCGTTGTCGGGCTGGCTTCTTGCAGCGGGGGCACAGGCCCAGGGGCGACCGGTTCAGACCGGAAGGAGGAAGCAGTCTGCAGGCCAACTGGCTTTGGCTGCAGGTAGCGCTTGGGCTCCGTCTGCAAGAAGGAGCTGCGCTTGGGCTCACACTGAAAGGGGCTCTGGCTGGGAGCAGGCCGTTTCACACCCCGGCTCAAGCGTAGCGCCGCCATCTCCTTCTCCAGCTGCTCGCGTTCCTCCGCCATGCGCGCCAGCTGCTTGCGGTGCTTCTCTTGCAACTCAGCCTCATACTCGCTCGCCAGCTCAGCGCCCCTCTCAGCAGCCACCATGTCCAGTTCCTTCTCGTACTCCACCGCGTCGCGCTCCTCCTTCTCCATGTCGAGCTTCTCCGCGTGAAGTGACAGCGCGAACTCGTCCACACTCTTCTCTTGCTTCTGCACCTCCTGCTCCTTTCTCTCCAAGGCAAGCTTCTCTTCCTGAAGCACCAGCGCGTACTTGCCCACACTCTTCTGTTGCCCATGCGCCTCACTAAGCTGCGCCGCTAGCTGCTCTTCTCGCACATGCGCCTGCCGAAGCTCTTGCCGTAGCTTCTCCACTTCTTCTGTCGCCGCTGGCCGCATCATCTCTGTCTCCGGGGCGCTGCGCACTGTCGCCTTCTGCTCTACTCCTGCAAGCGCCGCCTCTTCCTCTTCCAGTCGCTCCTTCGCTGCTGCTTGCTGCACGCGCTTCTTCTCCAGCTGCTTTCGCAGTCTCGTCTCCGCTGCTCGCCTCTCAGCCTCCTGCTCCTGCTGCCTGCGACGCCGGTTCTCCTCCTGCTCGCGCTCCTTCTCCGTCTCCAGCCGTAGGCGTCTTTCCTCCGCCGCCGCTGCCTCTTGCTCGCACTTCGCCTCTGTCTCCTCCAAGCGCTCACGCGCCGCCGCCAGCTCCTGTTCCAGAAAGGCAACGCTTGGGCTCTTCGACGGGGTGGCCCTCCTGCGGGCTGGCTTTTTCTCTTCTTCCTTCACTGGTTGCGGAGCCGCCGGGCTTGTTGGTGACAGTGTTGCAGCGGGGGCCATCTCCGCTGGCGGCGCTGGCACCACTGTTGGCGACACAGTAGGGGCTGCTGTTGGCGACACTGTGGGGCCCACTGCTGACAGCGCCACACTTGTTGGCGACGCTGCTGCTGGCGAGAGCGTTGGGGTCGTTGTCGGCGGTGACTCTGCACTTGTTGGTGACACTGTTGCGCGTGTCTCCTTGCGGTGAAGGAACGCCGGTTGCGGGCGGCGCTTCACGGTGAGAGTGCGCGCCTGCGTCGGGACTGGTCCTGCGCTTGAGGCAGTTGCTGGGGGTGCTCAAAGGCAAAGACTTGAGCGAGGGTTGAGTTAGATGTCAAGTTGGTGCTCGAGCAGCTCACCTTGAAAACATTTTGCGAAGTGGCTCAAGTGCTGATGTGCCTTGTTTTGGGGAGAACGCGCTGTTACTCGCATGTAGCCTCTGAAAGGAACTTATCACAACATGCAGCTTGCGTCGTGCAAGTTGGAGCGCATTTGCAACCAAGCAAGTTTCCCGCCGACCTTCATCCAAACTTCGGTTCTTGCATTGGCTTTCAAACAAAATATGAGACGTAGTGATATATTTCCGGGAGGGGGGAGCTCACTCAATCTCAAGAACTTCCCACAAAAGGCAGCCCTCTCAAATTGGAGCTTTGCCCCAGACAGTCAGCAGGATAGCTTTGTAGATTTGAAGAAATTGCGACACCAAAAAAAAAACAAGGTTCCCATTTTTAGGAACTTTGCCCGCTTCAAAAGGCCTAATGCTAAAGAGCTATCCCAAACTGAAGCCATGGTTCCAGGTGCTATGCAAACTTAGGGCCACCTTTGAATAGAATCATGGCTTCATTTCGGGGTAGGCCTTTAGCAAAAGCATTTGCGAATGAACGGCCAACCCATCTATCACAAACGGATGCCCCTATAAAGTCATTCTTATACTATAGATGGGCTGGCAGTTCAGGTAGCACACGCATGCAGTTTCCCGTCCCCAGCTTGCCACACCTGCAGGCTCGCTGTCTTCCAGTTCCTCTTTCACCTTGCAGGACGGTCCGGGAAACACCGGGATTGCAAAACAACTTCAAAAAAACTAGAGCACTTGTTGTTGAACCCAGTCGCTCTCGGGGGCGGGTTCGGCTGCTTCGGCTGTTTCTGGCCCGACATGAAGTCTTGCCCCTTCAAGAGCGTGCTGCACGACCAAAGCCTACTGTACGAGGCTAACTTCATCCTTGTTGGGCCAACGGCGTGCAGGCAGTTCACATCAAAAGCTATCAACGGCCAGCGCAGCCTTCAAGATGAAGTGTAGGAGACGCTTCGCAGAACAACTTGAGAGAGCGTGCCTCGCGTGTACTTCGCGTGGTTCGCATCACGGCCACCTGCGCAGAGACAATATGGTCGTCAGTGCGTTGTTTTCAATGGGTGCACATGTGGATGAAAAACCAAATCCGGCTACGCCAAAAAAACTAAAATTTCGGCGGTGGTCCAACGTTGCCAAATACCAAGATTTGTGAAATCAGCTAAACTTGGTTTTCCAACAGTTTGGGAATACGAAAAAACTAGATTCTTAGATCGCGTAAGATCGCGCGAAGAATTGGTTTTTCGGCGTGAAGAATTGGTTTCTCGACGCAATATCGCGCGGAGATATTTTCACCCCAGCACACTTGCCGCACGCTTGCCCCAGAAAAGTTTGTAAATGAGCAGCAAGAGTTTGAACGCGCTAGGATTCCAGGCCGAAGTGGGACGCAGGTGACTTCGGGCTCAGGCACACTTGTAAGACTGTGGCTGCACGGATCCACGCCTGTTGGCACATGAGAATTCCAAAATTTGTTGACAAGGGCATTCTTGGGTTGACAGGCCGCAGAGGCGCCACGTCACTTGTTCATGCCCAAGCATTGGCGAATTGGGTCGGGCACTGCTAAGCTCTTTGAGCCCCTCAGGTATTGAACAACACTTGGCATGTCAGCGTCAAGCCATAGATCTGCGTCACTCGACATGAAAGACAACATGCCTTCCAGCGTACAGCTCCGGTCCTGTCAGGGCAGAGCATGGATTGCGTGACCTCTCCATCAACATACCCATGCTTAAGCATCAAGCAAGCCGGCAAGCAAGGGTCAATTTCAGTGTGTGTTCTCAAAATGGTTGGGTTCAAGTGTATTCCGCTTTCGGCTTTTCACGAAGTGTCCTGGGAAGGGGTTTTTACTTGAAAACAACACCTTCGCAGGACACGTCTTGAATTTGCTTCCTGGTCGCTGGACTCTTTTGGAAGCATTTCAAAGAGCTCCTGTTGCTGCACGCGAAGCGGTTGCACACCTTCATGAAACCGAGGCAGAAGGGAGGCTAGCTTGTACCCAAAAGCGCATGTGTAAGTCCTCATGTCAGGAGACTTGCGCCCAGAAGGACATCAACACTGACAACCGCCGCAGCTTAGTCAGAAAATAAACTTCATTCAGTAACAACCCCGACACCCGCTGTTTAACAGGGAAGTAACTTGAACTGCCAAGGTTCTGTGAATCTTTGAGCGCCTGTTTTTTCCCTGTGCACCGCTTAACCCCTCGGCGGTCAACGTACTGATGGGCCACAGGCCGCGCTGATTCTCGCATCTCACGCGTCAAGGCCCCCAAGTTCAGCTCCTTTATCAAGCAACTATTGCTCCAAATCACAGTTCTTTTGCAGCTGGAATTTCCAAATAGCCTCATCCATAGGGGTTGGCGGAATACCTGAGATCAAGCCAAGAACCTGCAACGTAAACAGAAGGCAGCAGCTTTGGCAGACACAATGAAACACAGCACATCTATACAGACCAGCCCAGCCACTACGGCAATCTGCTGGACGAAGTGCTTCCAGCGAGGCAGATCGCCAAAATGCGCAGAGGACGGTTGCTCAAGAATGAAAGTGTGCCCAAGGGCACAAAGCAACCACGCTAACAAAATGCATCTATGCGCAATGAGGTTTCCAAGTGCCACAAAATCACGCGACGTGTCCCCTAATGGG